CAGCAGCAGTCCAGACGTTCCAACCTGCTGATGGGCCGCGTTCCCAAGCGTCGTGCTCAACCCACACCTGAGCCCCCCGATATGTTAGAGGACGAAGTTCAGTTACCAGCTTCTACTGCAGACGCTGAGGTCGATACCTCCCCATCGACGTTACTGCTCTCCCCAGTGTGTACAAACGGCAGAACTGGCAGTCGGGTGCACACTCGGCCTCGGTGCGAACGCGTCTGTCAGGCACTGCAGCAGTCACCATCCGCGATCACTGAGGCCAACGAGGACCAATTGCCAACCAACGAACCCAACTCCAGGTACCCAACATTGCTTTTGGATCGAACTATTTTCCACTGGGCGTCATAACGCAGGCTCCCAACTTGAATTTTTTCCGCTTGTTGTCATGGTAGATAGTAGATCGTTTCAGTGCTTTCATTACTTTACTAAATAACATTCACATTTACGTAAACGGTAACCCTACTCGATTTAATACTGAATAATAAAATAAACGCGGATTCGAAACTCGAGTGTGGCAGCAGTTTCAGTGGCTACACTAGAGTTGGCTATCGCTAGCTGACGACGGCTAATAAGCCAATAATAGGTATCCTAGCGTGCTTATCTTTGCCGGTAATACCTATAAAAATATACGTTACTGAAACTTAGTAAGTAACATTACTATTCGCCTTGCAACATACGCTGGTCCAGTGAGCAAGCTTGCAAAGGAATCAACCAGGATGAGTACATCCTGAAACAGATCGGTGTACGATTACCACTAAAACATTTGTATGTTTACTAATATTTTTAAGTAGCTATGCTATATTGAATAACACCACAGCTTACCTCGTGTCGCTTTGACAACTCGTCTACACAAAACTCTGGTTTAATACCCCCTTCCCATAATATCATGCGCATTTATCCGCCCATGTCTCTGCGCAATAATCTATTTACGGCCTTCCGTAAATTGCATTAGGAAGCCTTCAGATCCACAGGTGATCAGTGAAGCCTCAAACTCGGCCGCCAAAGCTACGAGCGGGGACGTCAGTACCTGGTGGACTGGTTTTGAGGCCACAACCAATTACAATACAAATATACTCGCGCCAGATCAACCATCTCCTTACCAATCGTCAAACCAGGATGGTGAGTTTGTCCAGTTTAAGAAAAATTGTTTAACCTTCAGGCACTACTTGCGCTTCACCTGTGTCCCAGGTCAATTATTGACCTGGCCATTCCGCTAACTCGGCAGTCTGCAGTATGGCGAGGACTGCATGCAAAATGCCGAAGTTTGTGAAAGATTGATCATTACTCGCATACCGGCATGAACATATGTACAAAAACTTAGAAATAATAATTAACAACTCCAGGCAAATTTGCTACGTAAAATAAATATAGAACGTACCAATTGTTTGTTAAGGAAAATAAAAATTTTGTAATAACGCTCAAGTTGAGAAGAAAACGACTCGGTCGCTGGGACAATACTTTTATTCGCCTGACGTTTCGAGATCCGTCGCGGATTCGTCGTCAGAGACAGTCAGAGAGCAGTAGCAGATAGGGTCAAGTTCCACAGACGTAAAAAATAGCTATAAATTAGAAACATAAATGTAAATCTCATCGTAAGTTGAATGAATAATCTTACCACTTTATTTATATCAAAATAAATTTTCCTTAGTCAAAATATTTTAAAAATATTCCTGTTATTTAATTACATTTACGTAGACAATGACCTTTAAATTCCGACAAATCTTCGAAAACTTTCTGTCTTTTCAAGCTTTATATCATATAGGTAGATCCTGTTCGATGATCACATCAAAACCTTTCAAGTAAGATTTCTATTAAGAGCTTTTACTGAAAAAGGAGTTTTGGCTATTCTTATCAAGATGGCCATGTACGCCATATTTATAAATTTCTCCAAACACCAAAACACATTGAGGATCAAAAGGACGTCCGCAACAGAAATCTGATATTGTTCTTTATAATTGTTCTTTTTATAATAAATTACCTCTTTAAAAAACGCTGTAATTAGATATTCAGCTGACGAATATCTCTGTATGTTACTTTTTTCCAAGGTAATGCCAAAATGAAAATGGAGAATTTTGACACATTTTTCAATTTACCTAAAGATAAAGGATACAATTTGGCTGGAAATGGAAGAACCCACTTCTCTCTTTATATTGGAATATTTTTCATCATAGTTGTTTACTTTCCGGCTCCGTTCTAATCTTCCGAATGCAAAAAAGAGTGGCCGAATGTATTCTATGATTTTGATATAATACTTATTCTTCTGTCAGTCCCGTTTCTAAATTACGCGTAAGCGGAAACTATAGTGTACAAAAAGTATATCTTGAAATATGGGCATCCCAAGATATCAGATTATGAAGATAAAGGGTTCTTTGGGAAAATTTGAATTTTATTATGTGAATTTTCGACGCAGGATCTCCTCGTCGTCTTCAGGCGTGAGAAAGTGTGTAACAAACAACCAAAATTTTTAACCGTTCAGAAAAATCAATATTCATCTAAGGTGTATGTCGATTGGCAGGATTTTCAGTCTGTGCTAGTGGGTGTTACGTGCCTTTCGTCATTTGGTTGTGTTTGGTCGCGCGCGTTGATTTTGACTTAGAGCTAACTATAGCTGGCGTGCCTCCTGAGCGTTTCCACCTTCGCTCGCGGCTGCCGGCTGTCGGCCCCGCGTACTTCCTCCATCTGACCTATTACTCCGTTCTGAGCAGATGTTAGCCTTCTGCGGAGCGCTTGGTA